CCGGGCTTCTGCAAGCTCCTGTGCAGAACAGGCAAAATCCGGCCCACCCCCACCTTCGGTAGAGGGCGCACCAGATCTAAACTGACAAGGCGATCTGTCATGTCTCAGTTTGCTCTGGCTCGAGAAACTACTGCCGGGTTTTGGAATTTGGGCTCTTGTTCTCTGTCGGGGGTTTAGGGTTCAGGCTTTAGGCTTGGAAGGAAACATCCTGAAGATCAGAACGCCCAATCTTTGAGCTTGAGGCCTATGAAAGAACATGGTCGGCCTAGGATGCAGGGCTTTAAGGCACTCGAAGCTCTGAAAAGCTCAACGTCAGAACTCTTGGCGAACCCTAAGGAACCCTATGCAAAACCTACAGAAGCCTTTTTGGGAACCCAAACACCTAGAGAACCGCCAGTTTGGAACCCCTTCCATGGAACGGAACCAGACAGACATCGCGCTCCCGGGCTCTTTGGCCACTCGTTTGCGCCCGCTGAAACTTCGAGGTGCTCGGGTTTTCAGACGCCCAGGCTCTTGCTTAGGTCTTTAGGGTTTCAGGGTGAAGGGCTGTCAAGGTTTGGGGCTTTAGGCTTCTTTGGTGTAGGATGTTCGGTCGTGGGGCTTTCAGCTTTTACCGTTCTAGGTCTTGTTTTAAGCTTAGGGTCCAGGTCTTTCAGCGTTTAGGGCTTTAGGCTTCTTTGGTTTAGGATGTTCGGTCGTGGGGCTTTCAGCTTTTACCGTTCTAGGTCTTGTTTTAAGCTTAGGGTCCAGGTCTTTCAGCGTTTAGGGCTTTAGGCTTCTTTGGTGTAGGATGTTCGGTCGTGGGGCTTTCAGCTTTTACCGTTCTAGGTCTTGTTTTAAGCTTAGGGTCCAGGTCTTTCAGCGTTTAGGGCTTTAGGCTTCTTTGGTGTAGGATGTTCGGTCGTGGGGCTTTCAGCTTTTACCGTTCTAGGTCTTGTTTTAAGCTTAGGGTCCAGGTCTTTCAGCGTTTAGGGCTTTAGGCTTCTTTGGTGTAGGATGTTCGGTCGTGGGGCTTTCAGCTTTTACCGTTCTAGGTCTTGTTTTAAGCTTAGGGTCCAGGTCTTTCAGCGTTTAGGGCTTTAGGCTTCTTTGGTGTAGGATGTTCGGTCGTGGGGCTTTCAGCTTTTACCGTTCTAGGTCTTGTTTTAAGCTTAGGGTCCAGGTCTTTCAGCGTTTAGGGCTTTAGGCTTCTTTGGTGTAGGATGTTCGGTCGTGGGGCTTTCAGCTTTTACCGTTCTAGGTCTTGTTTTAAGCTTAGGGTCCAGGTCTTTCAGCGTTTAGGGCTTTAGGCTTCTTTGGTGTAGGATGTTCGTGTTTCGTTCTAGGTCTTGTTTTAAGCTTTCAGCGTTTTACCGTTCTAGGTTTCTATTCTTGTTTTAAGCTTTAAGGTCCATGTCCTTTCAGCGTTTAGGGCTTTAAGGCTCTTTGGTGGCGGAGTTTCGGTCCGTGGGCTTTCCCCCAGCTTTTTACCGTGCTAGGTCTTGTTTTAAAGCTTAGGTCCAGGTCTTTCAGCGTTTAGGGCTTTAGGCTTCTTTGGTGTAGGATGTTCGGTCGTGGGGCTTTCAGCTTTTACCGTTCTAGGTCTTGTTTTAAGCTTAGGGTCCAGGTCTTTCAGCGTTTAGGGCTTTAGGCTTCTTTGGTGTAGGATGTTCGGTCGTGGGGCTTTCAGCTTTTACCGTTCTAGTTCTTGTTTTAAGCTTAGGGTCCAGGTCTTTCAGCGTTTAGGGCTTTAGGCTTCTTTGGTGTAGGATGTTCGGTCGTGGGGCTTTCAGCTTTTACCGTTCTAGGTCTTGTTTTAAGCTTAGGGTCCAGGTCTTTCAGCGTTTAGGGCTTTAGGCGTCTTTGGTGTAGGATGTTCGGTCGTGGGGCTTTCAGCTTTTACCGTTCTAGGTCTTGTTTTAAGCTTAGGGTCCAGGTCTTTCAGCGTTTAGGGCTTTAGGCTTCTTTGGTGTAGGATGTTCGGTCGTGGGGCTTTCAGCTTTTACGTTCTAGGTCTTGTTTTAAGCTTAGGGTCCAGGTCTTTCAGCGTTTAGGGCTTTAGGCTTCTTTGGTGTAGGATGTTCGGTCGTGGGGCTTTCAGCTTTTACCGTTCTAGGTCTTGTTTTAAGCTTAGGGTCCAGGTCTTTCAGCGTTTAGGGCTTTAGGCTTCTTTGGTGTAGGATGTTCGGTCGTGGGGCTTTCAGCTTTTACCGTTCTAGGTCTTGTTTTAAGCTTAGGGTCCAGGTCTTTCAGCGTTTAGGGCTTTAGGCTTCTTTGGTGTAGGATGTTCGGTCGTGGGGCTTTCAGCTTTTACCGTTCTAGGTCTTGTTTTAAGCTTAGGGTCCAGGTCTTTCAGCGTTTAGGGCTTTAGGCTTCTTTGGTGTAGGATGTTCGGTCGTGGGGCTTTCAGCTTTTACCGTTCTAGGTCTTGTTTTAAGCTTAGGGTCCAGGTCTTTCAGCGTTTAGGGCTTTAGGCTTCTTTGGTGTAGGATGTTCGGTCGTGGGGCTTTCAGCTTTTACCGTTCTAGGTCTTGTTTTAAGCTTAGGGTCCAGGTCTTTCAGCGTTTAGGGCTTTAGGCTTCTTTGGTGTAGGATGTTCGGTCGTGGGGCTTTCAGCTTTTACCGTTCTTAGGTCTTGCGTTTTAAGCTTAGGGTCCAGGTCTTTCAGCGTTTAGGGCTTTAGGCTTCTTTGGTGTAGGATGTTCGGTCGTGGGGCTTTCAGCTTTTACCGTTCTAGGTCTTGTTTTAAGCTTAGGGTCCAGGTCTTTCAGCGTTTAGGGCTTTAGGCTTCTTTGGTGTAGGATGTTCGGTCGTGGGGCTTTCAGCTTTTACCGTTCTAGGTCTTGTTTTAAGCTTAGGGTCCAGGTCTTTCAGCGTTTAGGGCTTTAGGCTTCTTTGGTGTAGGATGTTCGGTCGTGGGGCTTTCAGCTTTTACCGTTCTAGGTCTTGTTTTAAGCTTAGGGTCCAGGTCTTTCAGCGTTTAGGGCTTTAGGCTTCTTTGGTGTAGGATGTTCGGTCGTGGGGCTTTCAGCTTTTACCGTTCTAGGTCTTGTTTTAAGCTTAGGGTCCAGGTCTTTCAGCGTTTAGGGCTTTAGGCTTCTTTGGTGTAGGATGTTCGGTCGTGGGGCTTTCAGCTTTTACCGTTCTAGGTCTTGTTTTAAGCTTAGGGTCCAGGTCTTTCAGCGTTTAGGGCTTTAGGCTTCTTTGGTGTAGGATGTTCGGTCGTGGGGCTTTCAGCTTTTACCGTTCTAGGTTTTGTTTTAAGCTTAGGGTCCAGGTCTTTCAGCGTTTAGGGCTTTAGGCTTCTTTGGTGTAGGATGTTCGGTCGTGGGGCTTTCAGCTTTTACCGTTCTAGGTCTTGTTTTAAGCTTAGGGTCCAGGTCTTTCAGCGTTTAGGGCTTTAGGCTTCTTTGGTGTAGGATGTTCGGTCGTGGGGCTTTCAGCTTTTACCGTTCTAGGTCTTGTTTTAAGCTTAGGGTCCAGGTCTTTCAGCGTTTAGGGCTTTAGGCTTTGTTGGGTTTAGATTTCAAGACTGCAGGCTTTCGGTGTTTATGGGAGTTGAGCGTTGGGCTTAGGATCTGACGGCATAAGGCTGTAGGGTTTGCTGTTTAAGGTTCTGCTTTACTCCTTTAGTCCGCCGCGTTCTTAACTGGCGCAACCTCCTGAGGTCCATCAGCTTCCCAAAAGCCGCAAGAAATTTCTCAAAGGCGATGGAGAAACCCCAGCACTGAGCGGGCTCGAAATCTCTGCACAGCTCGGGGCTGTGCCCTGCGCGACACCTTCAAACGTGTCATCAGCATCATCGTGGTGGCACCCTGTTGGTGCCGAATTACCAGAATCAGGCGGGAGCAAGCTGAATTCTGAAGCTTACCGAGTGCCTCTTGCAGGTGTGGGGCTATGCAAGGCCCCTGCAATCTTGGTATAGCAAACTGTCTGCTTTGCAGCTTGCTTGAGCCGGAACCAAAACACGAGGTAAGAATGCACACAGCAGTATCCCCTCAAAGGCCCTGTATGATTGCACTTTGGATCCCGAAGCCCTGCTGTGACTTGTGTTTGGCCCCTGCTTTAAACGTGACACTGGGAAGCTGCCATTCGCAGAGTTCCCGAGGCCTGGATCGCGACTCACCGCTGCCATAAACGGAAGCAAAGCGCCTGGCTCAGGGCTGAAGCAAACTTCGGATTCTGGGGTCCGTATAACAAGGACCTACGACTTAGGGTAAACAACTGGCGTCCCCTATTGTCGGAAACTCCCACTTGGAGTTGAAGCCCTACACCCCGAAGCCTCAACTCAAACCACCCAAGCCCGCGAAACTGTCCGAAATACCGCAACACCGCAATGGATTAGAGCAAGCCCACATGCGGAAAAAAACGCGACACCCCAAAGCCCACAGCTCAGGGCCTCGGCTTCAACTCTCCGTGATCCCGCCGACGCGGCACCTGAAGACCAGGTCCCTCTCTCGAGGTGCTTGGGGTTCAAGATTTCGGAGCTCTTTTAAGGATCATTTCGTCCTTAAGGGTTCTATCTAGAGTGGAGGGTTGAGCGGGTCTGGCGCCGGTCGCAGGGTTGAGGTATCACAGCCTCTGGCTGGGCAGGAGTCGGCGTTGATATGACGGATGAATGACCGTGCACCGCTGAAGCTCCTCGCTGCATTTCGTCTATTGGGGATTTCATGGCTCAATGCGTCCATCACAGGAACCACAGGATTCAACACCTGCCAAGATGCGCACCTTCCATACTGACCCGGGTGCGGAGGTAATTGCAGCAGTCAATGATGAGGATGCATAGGAAAAGCAGCTGTACTTCCACATTGATGGGTGATCAGTGGGTGCCGCGCAGCTTTGACTATCGGCTTCAGGAATCAACAGTTGCAGCTTTTTGGGGTCCTAAGCACCAAAGCAAGGTCCCTGTCGCCTGGCCTCCTTCTTCCAAAATCCAAGTATGTAATACATAGAAACCAAGCAAAGCCCATCTGCAGGAGGAGAAGGAGCCCAGAAGCAAGAGTATGAGACCGAAGGGCCATCTACCTCCGCCCTCCGCCGCGGTGACGACCTCGGAGCAAAGCGAGAGATCTTGGGCTTTGCAGAGTTTCGGGGCGCGGGGTCTTCTAGGATCTTGCTTCAAATCGCATTCGGATGCTTCTCGGAGGGAGCAAGAGGGCTGCCAGCCTCGGAAACCTAGTGGCCAGAATTCTGGCTTTGGTGCGACAAGAGTTTTGGCAAGAAGACACCACACTAGGCCAACAAAAACGAGCAGCATGATCTCCATCATAATGGATCACCCTCGTCCTCATCATCGCAGTAACACCACCACCATCATGGCATGATCGCGGACAGCTCATCCAGATCCACATGCGTGCTCGGCAACTATTGCCATCGAGGATGTTAAGACATTCGTGTGGCAAGGATGCTTACGAGCAGAATTTCCCGTGTTGCTTCCCTGCTTCCTCCAATCAGTCAGTACTGGATTTAAAGTTGCACTTGAGATTTGGGGCGCATAACGCAGCGTCTCTCGAATTCGCAGCTTTTGGATGCTTCTGGGTTCCACATACAGCAACACTTCATCTCGTTATATAGGTCTTCTTAAGTACTTCTTGCGACGGCCTCGAGTGCAGATACTGGCGGTTCTTTTCGGTGATCTACCCTAAAGTCTCTAAAGGATTCATTATATAGATGTTTTCATGTATGCCGATATCAGCTTCAAAATACTCAGCGAACATATCTTGCTGGCTCTAAAGATCTACGGCACGTTCGGAAAAAAGACGTTCCGTCGTGTCATCTGGAGCAGCACACTCGGGCAGGGGCATGGACGGCCATTCCGGAGTGGCTGTGCGGGGGCAATGAGTCGAGCACGAGGCAGCCCCGGAGGCGCGATTTCTTCAGCGCCTGAGCTACATCGTCACAACTGTGCCTCGATGGCTACACGGATCTCGCTCGCATCTCTCTTGCCGCTACGTCTGTCGCCCACCAATGCTTTGCCGACGCTACTCATCTACTATGTCCCCTCTCTCTTCCACCCCCTTTGACACAGCGAGATTGTATTCAGAGTAGTTAAACCTGGCTTCAAGCTCCATGCCTTAAATGCCCGGAGCCAAGGCGACCCTCACAAAAAAAACGTCAGGCATAACATAATTGCAAGTCTGGGAAGCATCGGCAGCCATGCGCAACAGCATGCCCGTACTCATGGGACGCATGACAACCTTGGTGGCTACGAGTTGTATAAGCGACGGGCTCAGCGTCAACGCGGAATCCACGTTTGGGCGTAGCCTCCCACTCTCCGATTCCACGCATGAAGGATTTCCTTGCAGATCGATCTCGGGATGTTCCACTCAGCCCCTGCTGTGTGTTTTACACGGTAGGGCACTAACTCATGCAAAAAGACCTGTGTGGCATTCTTCAGCAGATTCCTATATACGTCGTGCAGTGCAACCTGAACACTTTCGCACAGCGCCGGTCCAGTCGGTAATTCGTCAAAGCCCGAACACGAAACATCCCTGGCGCTTTCGTAAATGTAGCCCCTTTCTTCCTTAACATACGTTAAATGAATGAGGGATGCGCGGTTTGTCGTGTCGTGAAGTTCGGCCAAAGGACGTTTGCAGCAGTATCCGCCGAAGTGCCCGCTGTCCGAGGCCTCCAGCGTGTTCACGACATGCCCTCATTGGGCCCCTTATTAAGTAGGGAAACACGTCTTCGGGTCATAGTACTATGAATCTACACTGGCTCACCCGCCTACCTGCCCGAGTTGCCCGTCCCCCAGCCTGGACACGAGCAAAAGCCAGGACCACTTTACGCAAGTTCGGAACACAGCCCGTTGGGGTGTCACTTTCGAAGGTCGATTCTGTTCTGTTAGTTGCAGCTCTGCCCGGTGAGCTTTGACTTGGAGGTTGAACGGTGTGGCTCTGAGAATCAAGGTGATCGTGATCAGCCCCAGCCCCAGAACACCCATGAATCCGTACTAAACCCCATACATGTTCCTCGAAATCCTCAAATTCAGGTATCGGCCCGCACTGGGTATAGATGAACTCCGAGCACGACAACACCCTGAACCCTGCTGACGGCATAGGAAGTAGCAAAGCTTAAACTTTCTAGCCCCTGAACCCTAACCTCTATAAAGCACCTCCCTGTATGAACCCTTACGCAACCGAACATATAAGTCCTGCATTACCCATAATAAGGGATATACCATAATTCCCATGGCTTAGGGTCCGAAACGTAATGCAGGATTTCTATCATTCACAGTATGGTGGGCGCGCCAGGTACTGGCAGGCGGGGTTCGCGCATGCGAAGCGTTCGACCTCGGAAGAGGCATCCCCAAAACCCTAAACCCCGAACCGGTTTAGGGTTAAGGGTTGAATCTCAACAAAGACCGCGCGAGCCACACAGGGTCTAGTTGCGGCGTGTATTTTCAAAGTTTTTGCGACACACCTTCTTCTACAACCTGAGAAGCTTTAGTGCTGAAGGGTTTAGGGACACGTTGGGGTCCAGGGATCGGGACACAATACTGTGATTTGGTTTGTAGAGGGCCACAAACGCCAGCATGACTTCATCGCACCACCCAAACTCCCCGAGCCCGATTTTCTGGAGTGGCGAGACGAGGAACCTCTGATTTGTCAGGTATTGTTGCCTGATACGAGCAGATTACAAGTCGCCCTGTCGACAGCATACCACCAGGACGGCGACCGGTTAAGGGCCGGGCACCAGCTCTAATGATTAATACATAAACAGTGCCAGAATCGCAAAGACTGGAGATCCTCAACTGTGAGGACCGGCAATCTTTTCGCCAGGCCAAGCCAGGATAAACAATGTAAGCTGACAGCCCTTAACCCCAGTATCGCATCCCTTATGGTAGGGTCTAGGTCTAAGGCGTAAAAAGTCTGTGGTTTCAAATTCTGCAAGACCCGAAACTTCTGCAAGGGTTCTGAGACTTGGGGCTCCATCACCTACTCTAGACCCTCCTTACCGAGCATCCGGTGTTCTAGATACACACCACAACCTTAAAGGTTGGAGCATGAAGCCTCCGACCTCTGTACATCCGAACGCCCAACGTGATGCACAAGACCAGGAGGGCCTATGACTTACCGACTATGAGGATCCCAACAACAGCCTTTGGAGACCCCCTCGCCGTCTCTAAAAGAAGGTGTGGGTATCACCGAAAACTGAAAACGGTGAGTTCTAGAAACACGTGCTTCGGCTCCGTGGCGGAGGATGTTAGTACCATTGCTCTCAGTATTGTTATGATTATGGTTATACGTATTGTCATCGTTAGCAGCAGCAGGAGGAGTGGTAGTAGTGGTGTAGTAATAGTAGTAGCAGCAGTAGTAGCAGTAGTAGTCGTAGTGTCAGTAGTAGTTGCAGTAGTAGTTTCAGCAATAGTAGTGGTAGCCGTCGTCGTAGTAGTGGCAGTAGCTGTTGATGCTGTTGCTGTTGCTACCGTTATTGCTGCTGCTCTCGCTATTGTCGCTTTGTATTATTGTGATTATTGTTGCTATGGTTTTTATTGCTATCACGTCATTGTTCCTACTACTACGGTTCCGATTATGAATACGGCTATGACGGTGATTGCGAATATTATGATTCTTGTCATTGCTCTTACTAGTACTATGGTTATAAGTTGTTACTACGGTCGGTCTTTATCGTTGTGCTTTCTGATGCTTTTAGTACGGCAATGGTTGTTCTCTGTCTTACTGCAAAGAACTTTTGTGGACAAGGTTTCTACCAGGGCTGTACATGGGCGTGATAGAGATTGTTTGGAGGATCAGGATAAGCTCTTGAACGGTTTTTGTACCGGCTTCATAGAGTCTGTGAAGGACGGTTGTAAAAGCGGATGGCGCAAGGGATCACAGAACGTTTTCAAGCAGATGTGCAAGTAGGTTCATATTAATAACCCTACACCCGAAACGTCCAGAACCCTCAGCTTACAACATCCACTGCTGCGACCATAACTGCTTGTCACCTAAGCACAATCGATCCATCAGGTGGGGATTGTGAGGAGTTCAAAAACCTTGACACCTGGGCTCATGGGAGGCCGCTCATGGCATGGGAGCCTACAGTAAATCCTACCACCGTAAACCTCAAAATCCTACACACAAAAAAGTACCCTAAACTTGAGGCGCTAAACCCTGAATCCCACACCCTCAACCCATAATGACATAATGTCTGTAAACACTTGGACGGTTTCTTTGGTTGGTGAACATCCGGTCATGAACACCGGAACGAGCCCATAAACCAATGATGAGAACTTTCGGGGTGTTTCTGCTGTTGAGGCATGGTCGAGTGTGCGAATACTTTGGGGCTTCGCACTATTGCAGACTAGAAAAAGTTTGCAGAAGGGCTCGGAGAATCAAACGACATTTGACCGGTACTGAGTGTCATTGGACGTACGTCTTACGTAACTGCAGAACTTTATTGTAACCCCTGTGGTGCCTCTAACTCCCTGCACTTCTAAGAGAAGCTCAAGCTGCATTGAGACGGGAAGCTACCCCCTCCATCGATGGCGTTCCTCGGTGGCAAAGGGGCACTCCACACATGCTGCCGGGGGCTCCCAGTGTTCCCTTATGTTTAAGGTTTGTTGTGGAAATGTAATGAGAGAGGTCCTATAACTATAGATGGAAAAGATGATGGAACACTCCAAGCTTAGTAGGGTGGATGGCCTACTATGGGGGGCATTTATTTGAATTGGATTTTGGGGTACACCTTTCTGTTATGACCAGGAACCCCGAACATGGTGTCGGTGACTATTTAGGCCTCTCTCTAACCGGTATTGCGGGCTCTCTGTGGGAGTTTCAAGGAAAGGTGCAAGCAGCACCTAGTTAGGGACACTAACCGATGAAATAGGCTTCTTGGGGTCTACTGTACTATCATTGTATTATGTTACTCAGGCCCCTAGATCCATCTCATCAAAGATGGCGAATACCCGAAGGCGCCTGTCTGACATGTTGGGAGATTCGGTCTCCGGGCAGTTGAGGTCTCAGGCTTGAAGGTGCAAGGGTTTGGGGTTTGAGAGCAAAAGAGTCAGAGTCCAGGGTTCAGGGTTGCAGTTCTGACTATGCGGCTGCCAAGCCGCCCACGCTTGCACTTGCAGCCGGTTCCCGGGCGACTGTCGACGCGAGGCGTGTTGCAGGGAAGTGGGTTGCCTGCCAGCAGTTGCAAGCAGCAGGAGTCGAGCGGTCTGCGCACTGCTCTTGCTTGGAGGATCGGAGAACTTAGAACCAGGCGTTGTAAATGAGCCTCAAACATTCTAGAGTTTTGACCTGCCTAGTTGCATCAGATATCCTGAGTCGGCAAATTCTGCATGTCGAGGCATTGGGACTTGGGGCATCCCCTGCTGTCCGTTCTTCAAGGCTTGCAATGCAGGCAGGCGTGGAGGAGACTTTGGGGTTTGGGGTTGACTCAAGCCCCAAAGCACGAATCCTGGAATCACATCGTTATTGTGTTGGAGAGGGCTGGGTCGACGAAGCTCGCATTGTAGCCTTTGCATTTCTGTGCTGCTGCTGCTGCTGAGGAGGAGGAGGCTGAGGAGGAGGAGGAGAGAAAGGTTCACGGCGCGACACTGAAGCAACTCACTGACCTCTGGCTTGCCGACGACGCCCTTCGGTCCTGAACAAGAGGCCGCTTGAGGTTGGACATTTATGGGTGGCCAGGCTCCGCGCTGTGATGTAGGACTTAGGCTGTAAGGACTAGGAGGCTTGGCACATCTAAGGTGGGGAAGAAGGTTTGGGGTTGAGGGTCCACTGTTTCAGCTTGAGGGCCAGCAAAAGCTGAAGGCCTGCACCGCAATCCCTGTCGTGGTCTTTGCCAGTCTCCTTTTCGCTCCACGCCAAACCCGAAACTCTTCAGCCCCACGCCCTCGAATCGCACAGCCGTTTTGAAGCCTCACCCATCGAACCCCAGTAAGCCTTTAAGTGTTACGCGTGTTAGGCTTTACAACTGCAAATCCTGCCAAAGCCTATGCATCCAAAACCAAAGCTCTCAAACTCCAAAACCTCAAACCTTGGAAGCCCTAGAAACATCAAACCAAAACCCCTTACTAGAATAGTTCACGGCTTGTTTGATGCTTTGTCCTGCTCAGGCCTCCAGAGTGCAAATACATAGCTTGTCTTCGCTGCCCCGCCAGCTCTCCCTTTCCAATACGTATTGTCACAACCTTTCCTGGTTTAGGGTAACCCGCGATCCTAAGCACTAAGCCGGCCGGAACCGGCACGCTCATCAACGCCAAAATCATTCAAAGCAGTGCTCCCTATGAACCCAAACCAGGGCCTGAACCCTACAAGCCCAGACCCCAAGGACATGAAACCTTAGCACTTTAACTCTTAAACCCCAAAACCCTCAGGAGAGCCCTGCACCTTTTCCGGACCCACCAGGCAGTACTAGAATAGACATTATAGAGAGAACTACCCGAATAATTCCAACTCCTACGTACTAAACCTTAACCCTGAACCCTAAAACCTCCTCTAACCCTGGCATTAGCTTGAGCCCTGCGCTCTTTTGCCTTTAGCCTTAGTAGTCGCGTAGATGGCCTTCTGTTGCGCTTACACTTCCATGGTGGGACCTCTGCTCAACTGAGCCCTACACCTTGAAACCCATACAGCGGCCTGTAACACGCCAAAAGGCGCCCGTAACCGAATCTTTGACGAAACGCAGATATTCATTGCTGGATCTGCACAATACACCGCCGGACTGAGCTCCCGACCCAGCAGAGAATCAAGCAAAAACGCGGCGGAGGAAGACGACGCCATGTAATCGTTGGCAGCCTTCACGGACTGTTGGTGCTTCTGTTCAAGTTTAAGGATTTGGGGCCTTACAGCTTCAAGGAGCCATGGAAGGTAGAGTTCATGAACTGGGAACTGTCCGGTTCGGACTACGGTTCGGCAGTTTGGAGCCTTCAATCAAGAGACTTCGAGCCTTGGGGGATCTATGAGGTGTTATGGGATCTAGAGGCTTTCAGCATTTTAGGGTGGTACGGTTTTCGTGGTGGAGGAAGCAGGATGTTAGGGCTTTCGGGGTGGGAGTTTCATGATTTTACGGTTGTTAAAAACAGGCGCCGGGGCTTTATGGTTTGTCGGTTCAAGGTTGACAGGATTGCCGGGATTGTTCGGGCCATGTGGCTTTGGGATTCTTGACCACTTGCTTAGGACCTTAGGATTTTGCGATGGAGGGTTTGTGGTGAAAACGTCCATGAAACTCAAGTTTTCTGGCCAGAGACAGACATGTTAAGCTCTGCATCGTCTTCAAGATGGCCCCTTCAGCACCCGGCCATGCTTGAAGGTCGCTGGGTTTCAAGCCCGTTCAAGAACTACTATGATAAAGCACTCCTTGCCCTGTTTACACATAAGGGTGAGAACAGCCGGTCACCAACACCGGCTCTGCAGCGATTCGCGAAACTTGCTGGCTTATACTCCCCATGGCCTTTCAACTACGGGGTCTCGGGTCTCGTGCCACAGTACCCGAAGTGAAACCTAAAGCTTGAAATTCTGGGTGGGGCTCCTTTGCGTGTGAGACGACCTTGACGTTTTCCGAGATATGCACTTACGCCTGAAACTCTTGCAGGCTCTTTATCAAATACGAGGAGAAACCAGAAGATCATCGTTAGTGGTAGCAGTAGACGCAGCAAAGTGGTAGCATTAGTGCTAGGAATGGACAATTAATGCAGTAGCAATCGCTGCAGCAGCATCAGCAGTAGCAATGCTAGTACTAGCAGTGCTAGTAGCACTCGTAACACTAGTAGTACTACTAATTCCAGTAGAAACAGAGGCATGTAGAAGTAGAAGCAGCTGTAGAAGTCGAAGTGGAAGCAGTGGTGGTGGTGGTGGTGGTGGTGGTGGTAGCCATCGTCGTCAGTGACAGTCGTAGCCATAGTCGTAGTAGTGGCAGTAGCGGGTTGCGGCATGATGATGAGCAAAAACAAACCACAGCTGCCAGAAGAAAGAAGAGTCCATTCATAGTGGTCCTGCGGTCAGTGACTGAAAGCTAAACCGACATTGATATGATCTCACAAGAAGCCTGTGTGATAGACTCTTATACAAGAGTATATATAGTATTATAATGTTGTAAATATTGAATGGTAATATTGAAGGATACTACTATGTAATATTACATCAACTCATATAACAGTGATAATACTACAACAGAATTCAACACAACATAATGGCATAAAACCCAACGATTATATATATGTATGTGTATATATATATATATATATATGTGTATGTATATGCATATAGGTATATATGTATATATATATATATATATATATACACATGTGTAGACCGTCGCCTGGGCAGCCTTGCGTCGACTGCTGCCCAGCAGCCGTCTGTCCTCCTACCAGACAGCAACCCCAATCCCAAACCCCGATTTTTCTGGGCAGATCTCAGGCCAGAGATTCTCGTCATTACACATGTCTAGTTTGCATACAGCTTGGGAGAATCCACAAAGAGCACCTGCGGTTGCACATCTGCAGGGACATCTGACCCCACAAGTTGGCAGTCGCCAGCACTTGCAGTTGGGAACTGTTTTATCTGCACGCGCAGACACACAGACAACGACCGACCGCTGCCACCTCCAGTTCCTCCGCGCCGGGGAAGTACCCGCCTTTGGTTTGAGTTTTGACTTCGCTGGCATTTCGTCTTGAGTTCTGCGGGTTAGCGCATAGGACTCTCAGGGTTTCGGGTGTCAGGTTTAAAACGAACCCAATCACCGTCAAGCCTTAGAGAACAGTGAACATCTGTTACTCTCCGACCGACGTTGAACCAAAACTGTGCACGCACCGGCGAACCCTTCTTTTCGTCGTGTGGTGTAAGCGCTGTAGCACACCGTTCGGCGACGCAACAGGCTGGAACGTACAGCCGGTGCCGGGGCGCATTCTGCACCCGGCCCGCTGCCGTTCGCCGTCCGCCGAAACGGATTCCTAGGGTGGAGAGGGTGGGAAAGAAAAGCTTTCAAACGTCGGGACGTCGTTCAGCCAGATGCTGCCGACGTTCGCCGTTCACAGTTGTTACTGCGCACACACGTGTGCTACACAAGTGCTGTTACTCTCCGACCGACGTTGAACCAAAACTGTGCACGCACCGACGAACCCTTCTTTTCGTCGTGTGGTGTAAGTGCTGTAGCACGCCGTTCGGCGACGCAACAGGCTGGAACGTACAGCCGGTGCCGGGGCGCATTCTGCACCCGCCGGGCGCACCGACTCACCACAACGCGCCGGCTCAAACGTGAAAGCCGTTCGCCACAGAGAGTAAATCGTCGGCCGCGGCGGTGGAGGCATACTCGATGTCCACCGCCGCGTGGGCGAAGATGCCGAGGATGTCGTCGACGGGGCTGTGTACCCTGGTCCAGCCTTCCGCCGATGCTCTGCCGAAGTCGTCGCGGGAGACCGCGTCCTTTTTTTCATTCATTTTGCGGACTGGCAAGTGGTACCATGACTATATAGTCAGGGTGGGCAATAACGAATGAACTCCAGGCAGATCAAGCCACGTCTCCAGTCCAGGAGTGCATACAAGTGGGTGGATTGGGAGAGCGGCAGGGCGAGCATGTGAAGAACCGAAGCGGCTTTGACGATCTTCTTCTGCACCTGGCTGCCTCTGTTCAGTGCAATCCATGCTGTCTATAGCGACGGGCGCCGCCCCGTCCAGCGCCGTTGCCCTTCCACGGTCGTTGCTGCGTCTCCGTGGTCTTGTCGTCGCCACGACCGCCGTGGTGGTTCCACCACTGCTGCTGGTTCTTGCCGCCCGTCTTTTGCTGCCACCAGCCGCCGTGGTCGTCCTGTTCGTGTTTCTTGGCGCCGTCACCTCTTCCTTGATCCTTGCCTCCGCGACCTCGTCCTCGGCCTCTGCCGCCTCGGCGTCGCTTGCGGCCGCCCCAGGTGCTCCCGCCGTTCTGCTGGTCGTCGGGGTCGTCCTGGGTCTCGTCGCTGGTGAGTTGGACGCCGGCGTGGAGATGAGAGCCTCCTGCCACGTCGGGGCCACGTCGTCCGTGATCTCCTTGGCAGCTTCGCCGAAGGACCAAGTTCCATGACGTCCTCATGATTTGCCTTGTCCCTGGCCTTCGCGACGAACCAGTCGACGTATTTGTTTACGTCGTCTTCTTCGCCGATGCCGAGCAGGATCCATGCCCATCGCGCCGCGTTGGCCCCGTCGATGGTGGAGAAGAGCCCTTTGGGTATCCATTCCGTCGGCTCCTCCTGGATCAAGGCGCAGCTCGCCGGTGACGTCGTCTTGGAGAGGGCGAGGGGGTTTGAGTGTCCAGGCCGCCGTCAGCGTCCGTCTCGACACGATCTCGCCGAGGGTCACCGCCGTGTACAGCTTGGTGACCGTGTGCCCGAACCACATCCTCGCCAAGATCTCTTCGGCGCCAAGCAGCTCGTGGTGGCTGGGAAATGTCCTCTCCTTGCCCCCACGTAAGCGTCACATACACTGCCCCCGAACTCAGGATCGCATCAGGCAGAAGGCTACATCCGTTCTACACGGAGTTGACGAGCCTGCAACTCTCGCCCGTGCACGGGATCCGATTGGCGAGAGCCTCGGGAAAACATCGGGGCGAGGTGGCTCGCCGCATACACGTACCAGCATGTCCATCACAGGTGCATTATGCCGATGAGATCTCCTGAGAGCCGCTGCCGATGCTGCAAGCGATGCGCGCGGCCAGCTCGAAAACAAGCGACTCAGCAAAGCAGGACGACATGGCAGAATGAGAGAGAAATGAGAGACAGACAGACAGAGAGAGAGAGAGAGAGAGAGAGAGAGACAGAGAGAGAGAGAGACAGAGAGTGAGAGAGAAAGAGAGAGAGAGAGAGAGAGTGAGAGAGAGAGTGAGAGAGAGAACAAGAAAAAATAAAGAAAAGGAGAGAACCACGAACCCGCGGAAATGAAAGAATCTCAGAAGTTCCAACAGTTCCAACACTCGCGCACGGAACCAGAATAGCACGCCCTTCTCCTTCCCCACCCCTGGGTAGGGAACAGCTCCAGGGCCTCCGTCGAGGAGGCGGTTCTGGTACAGGTCCACCTGCTGGCTCCACGCCGTGAAGGTCTTGGGTGGCTTGTCGGGCACTGACGTTGTTGTCGTTGACGCCCCTGATGACCCTGGTGGCGCCGCTGCCGGCGCCGGCGCCGCCGTTGGTGGGGGCGCCGTGGAGGCTGCTTTCCACACTGTCTCGTCGCCTCGACGAAGAGGTGTGTCATAATGGCGCGGCCTTCGCGACGTCGTCTTGCCCCGCCTCCACCTTGTGGTCGGTGCCTTCGATGCGGACGGCGACCGCCCGCCGGCACGGCGCAAAGGAGACCGAAGGGCAATGAAATAGTCAGGGTTTGCACCGTCTGCCCGGCGACTCGCGTCGCTGTGTCAAGTTCAACCCCCCTCGGCGCCACTTTGCTAAGATATCCGCAGCCATTTTGCTTTCGCTGGGAAACCGACGGACCCGACCCCCGAAACGCACCCATGGCGGCGACTCCGACGGTGGCATCGGCGATGGCGTCGCTGGTCGACCTGTTCACCACGGCGGGGGCGGGCGACGACATCAAGAACTACATAGCGGCGAGGAAGATTACCGCCACGCCGACCTTGGCCCTGATAGCCAAGGACGTCGACCAGTTCACGACGAATGTCATAAACCCCTTCATCAACGGCCTCACGGGTTGTCCCGGGGCGCCGTCCAGACACCCGCCGCGGTCCAGTCGCCAATCGCGCCGGCCGTCAGCTGCTACTCTGACTCCGAGGTCCGAGGTGGCGCCGCTGGTGGACGACGAGCTGGAGATCCACCGCCCACCCACATTTGGCTTGCCACTCGGCCCTGGCTGACTCTGCGGCAGTTCATGATCAGAATCGGCGACACATCGCCCGCCCAGGGCCTGGTCAACCACCGCGACCTTCGCCGGCGCCGGCACAAACTCGATTTCTGGGAGGTCTGCCGCAAAGTCGACCACCGGTACGCCTGGCGAGGGCCTCGGTCGCCGCCGATTCGGCTGGTCCCGCCCCGTCGCCTATGGCCAGTACGGCTGCCGATGCCGTCGGTTCTGCAGGAACTGCTGACTCTGCGCCGGTGTTTGCCAAGGCCAGCACCGCCACGCCGCGCGCCGCCAGGAAGGTGGCTCCGGCCACCCGCACCGCATGGCCCCCGAAGATCAGGTGCTCCCGACCCTTGTCGTCGAGGAAGGTGGTCTGGAAGCCCGCCGCGGCCAGGACTCTTCTGAACATCTCTGCCGAGTCTGTCTTGGATCTCTGAGTGCCGGGCCGCGTCGGGAAGAGAAAATCCCCGGGGCCGCTAAACGCGCTCGCCCTCAAACGTCGGAGGTGTCGATACGCCGCACATCGCGGGCACAAGGGGCGCGCCGCGGTCTTGCAGACACACCTGAATGTGCGCCGGGTTAGCGCCTCCTGTCCCTGCGCCGTCTTATGCAGCGGGATGTCCAGGGAGACCGCCGACGCCGATGCCGTGACCGTCAGGTCTTTGATGAGCGCGCCGGCTATCTCCACCTCCCTGAGCATGTACCAGGTCGCCAGGATGACTAAGTCGACGGCGTGGTCAGTCTTGAGGACGTCGAAGGGCTCGTCGTTCTCATCGGGCGCGACCAGCGTGTGCCAACTCGCCGAGGTCGAAGGCTTGCTTTATAGGCGTGAGCCCGGCAGCCCTTCGCCGCGGCCTTGGCCAAGGTACGTGCCACTCTTCGCTAGGCTCGCCGGTACCTCCGTGTGTCTTTGGTTCTCCTGCCACCAAAGCGCCGCATCTAGGTAGAGCCCCGTCGACCTGTAGCCTGCCAGCCTCATTGCGCCGGCTATGACATGGAGCTTGTCGGCGTCGAGCGGGCAGAGGGAGAATTGTCCCCGCTCCGCCATCGCCGAGAGGGTCCTCACTCGCGATTCCACCGCTCGTCTGGTCGAGGAGGCTAACAAGTTGGCGTCGATCGCCGCATTGCCTCCGTCGCCGCCGACAGGGATGCCCGAGATGTGGTCCGCCTGTGGCCACCGCCAATGCCGACGTCGTCGGTGGCACTGGCGCCAGGATGCTGAGCAGCACCGCCTCGGGGAAGCCGTTGTGCAGGAGATCGGCGAATGCCTCCCGGACCGCCGGACCATTCACCGCGCCCATCCTAGCGAATGTTACGACGTGCGCCGCCGCCGGCTGCCACAATGGTCCTGAAGAATGCCCCGACGGTGCCCGCCTGCGCCTGCGCCGGCGCGTCGGTTGCCATGTCTAGGGTCGTCGTGCGAGCCTGGGGGAAATCGTCGTCGCCTCGAGCCAGAGCGAAAGGGCTGCGAAGAGCAAGAAGGCAGCAGCAGCGACGACGACGAACGACCGAAGAGAGACAGAGAAACGAGCAGCGACGGCACGCGCGGACGCGAGGCTTCAGGACCCGTCGAAGAAGATCGGGCGAGCAGACACTTTGCGTCGCTCGCCGTGCTGGGGCCCCTGTTCAGCCGAACGCCGACTGATGCCCATGGCAGTCGGCACACTCGTGCCCGACGTGGACGGTCGACAACCACCGGTCGAAGGCACCTAGAAGCGCGGGCGTCGTCGTCCAGGAGCTCCGGGGACATGTCGGGTTGGTGCAGGGTGCGCACACCAGCCGGCCACCTTGCGCCGAGCCTGCTGGCTGTGCCAGGGCACCCGAATGCTCCGGACGTTCGCCGGTAGCGACGTCGTGAACCAGTACGTCGAGGCATCCGCCAAGGTGGCTTCAAAACCGCTGACGGCTCGCGAGAGGGCCCGCTGGGCGCCGATCTCTGGGGCTTGGCGGCAGGCTCTGCCACGGCGTCGGAGCTGCCTCCAAAGGACGCCGGTAAGTGCCATGCGCCGGTGGTGGCTCTGGCGGGGGCGGGTCCTGCGAAGTGGCAGGCCTCTCGCCGCCTCGCCGCTGGGATCGTCCTCTGCGGGATCGTCCCCTGTCCGTCGTGGAGTTCTCCGAGTACTGGGCGCCGTCGGGGTCGTGGATGCGAAGGTTCTGGGTGTTGAGCAGGGGACGCAGAGTTATAGACGATCTCGTCGCCCAGTCGTCGGTCGGGTGGCGCCGTCGGGCGGCAGTCTCATCCTCTCGCCGGTCGCGTCCAGACCGCCGAGGACCCCTCTCCCGGGCGAAGGGCCGGCGTCGATGCACCGGAGGCCACAGAGGATGCCATGCCCGGTCCCTCAAAACGCCGCCGCTGGCTCTGATCGTCTCCAAGGAACCCACTCGCCGATGCGGTCCGCGTCGGGGTCGGCGTCGAGGACGTCGTCTCCAAAAATGTGGTGCCCGAGACTGGCGCCGATGGGGTCCGCGGTCCTGTCGTTGGCGGATGCCATGGAAGTCCACCTGCCCACGTCGACGGTGGTGCTCCAACCGCCGTGGACGCCGCCTTCGGCAGCTGAGGGATCGGCTGAGGATCTGGCCGGGCCGCCGTGGTCGTCGTGGGGACTAAGGCCGTTGAAATGTGCCGAGATCGCCATGGAGGATGGCGTCGTGGCGGGCGGGGTCATGGAGAGCACCGCCGCAAATTCAAACAATGCCGTGCGGTCCTCCATCTGGATCTGGGCGGCGAGATCAGCCCACGCCGGGTACCCGCCGAGGCGCCATGCCGCAGCACACCGACCAGGTTCCTCACCGCCACTTGGATGCCCGACTCGCCGGCAGACGTCGTTGACGTCGGTGGCAGCTGAGGCGGAACCTTGCGAGGCGTCGGCATCGCCTTCACGGGGACGCCGGAGCCCGCCGCCGCTGATGAAGAGCCAGGAGTCGTCGACATAGCGTCGAGGAATGAGGCTACAAAAGAAAAGCTTTCAAACGTCGGGACGTCGTTCAGCCAGATGCTGCCGACGTTCGCCGTTCACAGTTGTTACTGCGCACACACGTGTGCTACACCACACGTCCAGTAGTCGGAATTCAGGGCGGAACTGAGGTGGCCAACTGTAGCAAGTGACAACGAAGAGGGGACCCTGCTCTCCAACCCCACACTCGAACATGCAGAAGATTGGGGCGGGGCTTCGGTAACAACTGAAGGCTTGCAGCTTGTAGGGTTTCCGGGATCCAGGGGCTGAACGCCCACGTCTTTGCGGCTTCTGTGCATCATCTACGAATCTCAAGCTTGCGTCCGAGAAAGTCTCGTGGTGCTCCAGCTAACCCAACAGCGATTCATGCGCGAACTGTATGCAGCATGGGTCGGGCCCTTTTTTGGAAAAAGTTGCGACGCACGGCATTCAACTCTTTCGTGCCATGCGCTGGGGTCTGTGTATGCCCTAAGCACTAGTATGTTTAGGATCCTTAAAGTGGGCTCAATGGAGGTTCGTTCAGGCCACCGCCCAATAAACAGGCGAGCCCATCCATGAGTCAATGCGGATGCAGTTCGGTTCTAAGTAAGTTCCGCCATGGCATCCATGAATGCAAAGCAGACTCCGAGCCTGTCTATGTATGTGGCTCCAACGCACCATAGCGTGTGTTAATTGTGTTTCGTTTGCTGTGCCCAGCCGAGCGTCCGCTCGGAGGAATCCGGAACGGGCCCGGAGGCCCCGAGGGCTCGCGGGCGCCTCAATGCAGCGGGACATAACAAGTTTCGGCGTTGGATTGCATGAGGTTCAACATCTGTTCAAGATCAAAAAAGGAAAGCAGCCGGTGTCCTAATTTCCGCTGTTCAAGGTCAACCCTGGAAACTCCAACTTCCTTGAACAGCTTCCTTGAACTGCTGGAGTAGTGGTGGTAGTCGTCAAGGAGGAGGAGCAGCAGTAGGAGTGGGAGTAAGACTAGGACTAGGAGGAGTAGGAGTAGGCGGGGCAGTGGCAGAGGGATTGACAGTAGTGGTAGTCGCAATGGCAGCGGTGTGCGTGATAGCAGTAGCAGCAGTAGAACGTTCGTCACAACCACAAACACGAATGATAATCACGCCCTCGCATCCCTTCGAACGAAACCCAGTCCAGGGGTGACATGACCAGATAGCCGAGATGCACCCGAGCCGCGGCGGGCTCGGGCAAAGTGGCCTGCGCCTCGCAGTGGCTTGAGATGGGGATTAGGGATGGTTAGGGTGAGACGAAGTAATCAAGTCGAGAATTTAGCACTAACGTGGCAGAGCCTTGCCTGACTTCGATTCGTCAACTCAGCACATGCGAACTCTGTCAAGAAAACTGCTTCAACTGACTTTGACGCGTAACTGCCAGAGGGAACCAACACGCATGCTTCCGGAACACAACACCCTTAACATTGCGGGCAACTGCTCCGTTCCTGAAGCAAGGATTGACAGTGGCTCCTATATCATCCAAGGGGCATGCGCACATGTGAGAGTTTTTGATGTAAGCAACCCCGAGATTGACGTTGCATCGAACCAACATCTTGACGAGCTTTTTTTCTCAGAATTCCTGCTGCCACATTCGATAATCTGCACTTCAACCTGCCCGTCAGAATTTCCGAAACACTAAGAAACCCGGAAATGCTTCCGGAATTCTGTCATTTTTCGACATCTCGAATCCGATAAATCCAAAAACCTCTGCCCTAAAGCCCTACATGACCCCTCATCCCGACAGCCCGAGAGACTCAAGAGACACTGCGCAAACCGACGAGCCTGCCCACAGCAAGGCTCCTGGGCTTCCCATCCGATTGTCGACGGGCAACAGTGGCAGGGTTTACGTAGGACCTTTCGTCAAAAACTTTAGGGTCCGGGGTGCGGTGCTTTCGAGCAGTTGAGGGTCGAGGATCTAGCGGCTTTTGCAGGGAATTGGTGATTTGGTGGTTTCGGGATGTACAGTAGGGTTTCTGCCCATCAACAAGAGCACTCGTGGCCAGTCATGAGGACCATTCATGAGCTACAGTATGTTTTTGGTCTGCGCACTGCTCGAATTGTGAAACGACTGCTTTCCCTCATTTTGACCGTGTGGCAGCTGTGGCAGCTATGGCAAGCGATCCCTGTTCAGGATCTCCAGCAAGCTCGTCAAGGGAGCAATCGGCGAAGCCTGGTTACCTGTACCTCACACCTGCCCCCAACCCCCCCCCTCCCCTCCTTGGCAGCAGCCTTCTACCAACGTATCCCGAAATCAACAGCCACGCAAACAAAAATTAGCTACACGCCACGTATCGCCGGGGCGTATAAGAATGTCCACACGCATCCCCAATAATTAGTCCATGCCGGCAGCCAAAAGAACACCAACCCCGACCACATCCATCACCAGGAAAATGCTGCTGTCCAACCACATTTTACCAGGCGCCGCCAAAAGATGGGGCCACGCATGTTAAGCCTTTAGCGGTCCTTCTCTCATGCCTCGCTACTTCTAGCAAATGCAAACAAGCCTTGTAATTAGGCTTGAGCTTCGGGTAAGAGTTTCTCTCGGGCGTTGCAACGGGCTCAGCCGGGGTACAGCCCCCTGATACAAGCAATTCAGTGAACATCCCGGCACCAGCTTGCAGCACTCTCATAGCACTACTGGTCACTACTGTAGCATACACGACGGTCTGAATCTTACTTCGCTTGCCACTTCAACACGCGCAGCTCCGCGAACCGCAGGCCGAGCGTCAACGCCCGCAGCGCCCGCAGAGCGAGCTCCGCACTGGGGGCCTAACAGCGAACTCGAGGTGTCGAGACGAGCTGAAGCTCCGGGTTGCCTCTTTGAGCGATGCTACGACGGCTACGAGATGCTACGAGGGCCACGGGAAAGGGCCCCCAACCTCCACCTCGTCCACCTCCCGGAGCTGCTGGGCCGCAGCCGCCAAGTGCTCGGCGGCCGCAAAGCCGCTCACCGCCTCTGCGGCCTCCGGGGCTCCGCTGCAAGGCTCTTAAGGCCACTCGCAGGATGTTGCAGGGTTGCTCTTGCTGCGGCCCGCTTCGTCCTGTCTCTGCCGAGTTCGAGTGTCTCGCGCGGCACTGGCAGCAGGGCTACTTCGGGGGCTCGCTGCTCTGCTTGCCGTCCCGAAAGGCAATGTAGGAGGTCCTATAGTCCCGTAGATGCAGCAAGCAATGTGCACCGACGGACCCGGCAGTGGGAGGATCAGCTACCTATACATGTGGGTTAGAGCCAGCCGCTCCCACCCATGCCCACTCGAATGACCGCGCAGATCGATGCGTAGCCAGATGCCGAACAGCAAGCACTTGTGACTACGCCTCTAAGCTTGAAGTTGTGCCATCTCTGAAACTAAGCTATAGTAAATTTAGAGGCTGGGGCTCTGGACGAATGCTCGACGACTCCCAGTCTACTTCTAAGCATGTTTTCTCCAGGGTCTACAGTGAAGGTTATTTTTTGATGTTTATTGTGTAAGCTTTGTTTGGGCTTTAAAGTAGATTAGTGGCACGACTTCTCGACACGAGGCTCCTTTAAGTCTCCATGTCATCTGGCCTCAATATGAAGCCTGCAGTGCAGTTTACCGTAGAAGGCGTCGGCAATATGAAGGCCCACAAAGAAAGATTGAGTGTTAATCTGGTGCCTACATGAGACCTTAACCCTGAACCGAAAATTACCCAGGGCCTCGGCGAGGCCCCCGGCAAGAAGCTGGTGGAACTCCTCTTGGTAGGAGGCTTGGGGTGCTGCTGGGTTGGATCTAAGGCTTGGCATTTTGGGTTTAAGGTTGGGGTGTATATAGGCTCGCAGGAACCTCAGCCGCCCCTGAAACTCTGCAAACCTACAACCTCGACCTCAGAGCTGTATTTCTGGGGGCTGCACTGAACACGCGAATCACGGGTTTAAAAAATGGATCCAAGGATGGACCTGCTTGCACCCAGCATGGGACCATTTGAGGGCTTCTCACCGCAAGTACTTCTTGGACTGGCGGCTGCATGCAGATGTGTAGGTGAACATGAACGCAGTGGATACGTAGACAGAGACATCGCTAGACAAATAGTCTGGTGAGCATTTACAAATCGGGCTGAAGCCTGCTTCGCCTCGGCAGCTCTTCTCTGCTCTTCCTCACGGCATGCGGCTTCTGCCGCTTCAGCTTGCAGATGTACACGAGCATTTGCTGATGCCAAAGGCAGAATGCGCTGAGTGGCTGCTTGTGCGCCGGCTTTCGCGACAGCACGCTCTGCTGTCATCGGTTCGGCCTCCGCTTGCCTTGTGGCCTCTTCCGCCAAGGCTTTCTCCTTTGCTATTTTCTCCTCCTCCTCCTCCTCCTCCTTGCGCAACCGCTCGGCCTCCAGGGAGAGCACGGCCATAGCAGACACCGGTGTGCCGTGACCCTGCTGAGCATGAACAGCCACCTGAAAACACGGTGACTTCCACCCCAACCCCCAACCTGTCACCTGTCACCCTCAACCCAAACCTCTTCTGCCTAGGCTTTCTATGGAGAATTGGGTTGTGCAGCCACCAGCCTTCAGCGCATACTCCGGGAGTTGTGTCCTACCCGTGGCCATGTTACGCTCTGTGATACTCTCTAACACGGTGTCCTTACTCTCGCCGGTCCTTTTGACTGTCTTCAGTTTGAGCTTAACCTCCTCGGCGTTGTACTCGGGCCACTGTGAGGCGACGTCGGCGAACTGGTGGAGAGCTGGCCTGGTGGTTCGGCGGCGTTCTGGTGCGTTCTTACTGAGGCTTTCTGCGCTCCGGCGCCCCGCCTCAGGTCCACCGTCTGACCCACGTAAGAGCCCTGGTCGCCCAGGAAGGTCAGTCCAATGAATCTTCCGCCTCGGCTGCCCACATCAAAGCAACGGTGTCCTTGCGGCCGACGCAGAGATGCGTGCGGCTGTCTCCGGGATGCGTGTGAAGCGGGAAGGAAGTGTGTTTGGTAGTGACTTATATGTCATACATGCATATGTAAGCATTGCTTCGCGGAGTCTGAACGGACTCATTCGCACTATCCAATGCCACGATCGACGTGGCTCAAGCAATGGTGCACAAATCGAGAAGTGTACCGGGTTCTGGCAGGGGCCTCGGCTTGGAAGCTGGGTTTGGGGTTGTGGTGGTGGTCCCCAGGGTACCCGGTACCCTAGTCGCCCCCATCTCCTGGTACCCTAATCCCGAACCTTACAGGCTCCTTCGGAGCTTGATTTGCTGATGGTGATCGGAAGTAGCGGTGATGCCTAGTGGTTATGATCATGTACCCTATCAGATAAGACAGGCGCTGCAGCAGCAGCAACAACAGCAGTCACCAGCATTCAGCATCGTTACCGATGGCCCGCAAACACAGGTTATGACACGCCCAAACGCTGAAGCGCATGCAGAACCAGCCATTGATCAAGGCTTGCATCTGCAGTTCGCAACGGGCAATGTCTCTTCCATCAGGGCTAAGGCTACAGCGGATGTTGCAAGTGCAAGCGCCGGAAGAGTTTCTGCATATGTTGAGATCAGACAGAACGAATGCCCTTTCTGCCTTATCGTCTTTAGAGGATGTGCAGAGGAGGCTCGATGATCTGAGCGGCGACATGCAGTTTCGGACAGAACGCTTGGCAGCATGGGTCTCTTCCATCATGGGGGAGGCAGATGTCACTCGACAGCATCTGGGAGCAGCAGGCCAATCCATGCAAGACACTGAGACTTTGTGGAAGCGGGCCGATGGCCAGTTCAAGGAGCTCATGACTCGCGTGGGTCAGTTGGAAGCGGCAGTTAAGCATGAAAGCAGAGCGCAAGCCACGTTTGAAGCTGACATCAGCACGAAGGTGAACACGTTAGTTCAAATTGTTAAAGACTTGCAATCAGAGTGGGCGCGGGTGGACGCATCCGAACAAGCTCACGCAGAGTGCGCAAAAGCAGTGAGTCAAGAAGTCGCGGGGGTCCATGTGCGGCTCGATGAATCCAGTCATGCAACCCTCACGACGGAGCAGAGCGAGCGCTTTGATGCCTTATGTCCGGCAGACGTCTTGACTAATAATATTGATGGTGCTCAAATACTTCAACAGATGCAAGATGTACGACGGGATCTTGACAAAACGATGGAGCATCTTGAATCTCATGTGCACGCTACTATTGACCGCGATGCCCGGCTCAACAGCGCTCTTGCTAGGCTGGAAATTACCACCAAGTTTCAAAGGCGCTGTGGAGAGCTGGAGACAAACATGGCCGTGCTGATGAAGCACCTTGGCGATGACAAGGCTGCTCAACACTTTATGGCATCTCGAAACACGGAGCAGGCCCAAAGTCCTTTGATTGAGAATGCAGGACCTGTTCACCACATCATCGGACGCAGCAGATGCTGCTGATGAGTGGTGGGACGCCCATGATGATAAGCCGATATCGTCGCGGGCACAGCCTCCAGGTTTGAGCTTCGCACCGTCGCAACCGCCCCCACCAATACCCTCGAACTTACGACAGATCAAGGGATCACCCAAAAGCACGCAAGCAGCATCTGATAAAGTTCCACATGCCGCTTTAAAGCTGCTGAAGGATTGTCCAAAGCTGGACATTCAGCAGGGCGAATGTTGGGAAATCGGGATGAAGGTCAACCAATGGAAGGCTGAGACGACGACCGTGTTAAGCACCATCCATCGAGACTTCGGAACCTAGTTTCGAGCAGGTGTTCGCACAGGCAGCCGAGAGATACAAGCAGAGACAAGTGACAGCATGTGCGCCCCCGATACCAGATGTTCAAGGGAATGGGTGATTGTGAGGTTCGTCTGCCACTGAGCTTATTGAAGGTGTTGCCGGTCAAGGTAACACAACCCGTCCGGGAGCGACAGGATGGTCCTGTAGTGAGGTCGGTATTGCTCTTAGAGTCCCTGCATGAGACAGTGGCTCCAGGAGGAAGGGAAGAGATTACATCGTTGCAGAAGTTTCTGCGGTCTCTTCCGTCGGCGGCGAATGGACGTGGAATTCTCACGACACTTAGCCGGTGGCAGTTGGCGACGGCGGGTGCGGCGTCATTGGCGTTGCCACCGCAAGCACCAAACGAGGTGCTGTCTGCAATCGAATCTCTTGCGAAGACTGTTGGACAGGGTAACCCTCAGTTCTCCAAGAAGCTGAACTTGCTGCGCTTGCAGCAGGATGTGGTTGTCACCACAAAATCTGGACTGGATAGGTTCATTCTGTGTGTGGAACAAGAAGCGCGTCTGCTATCAGCAGATGAGGACGTGCGCACCGCAGCCTGCGGGACATGGGAGCAAGCCACAGCATGATGATGAGTATGTGATTGCGAAGGCCAGTGGAAAGAGAAGCGAGAAGAGACCTTGTTGGTTTCATTCAACTCCGGAAGGGTGCTCGGGCGGGCGAGATTGTCCATTCTCACATGATGGCCCGTCCGGGGCAGCAGGGTCTAAGGGCTCAGAGGGCGAAGGCAAGGGAAAGAAGGGCAAGGATCATGATCAGTCAGCCGATGCAGCAGCAAAATCAAAAGCAGAAGCCAAAGCGAAAGCAAAGGCTGCGGCCAAGGAAGTCAAGGCCAAAGCCAAAACCGAAGCCAAGGCAGCTGCAGACGCCAAGGCTAAAGCAGCTCCAACTGCGTCGTCTGCGAAATCTGCAGCTGGTGGAGCTAGCTTCGCGGAAGATATTTGCACACTGCGCAATCACATATCGGAAGCTTGATGTGGCTAGCACTCAAGAGCAGACCGGATATCGCAGCAGTGACGGGTGGAATAGCGTGCATCGCAACACTCAGTCCGACGAAGGCAGTCAAATTGGCTGTAGGGGTATTGCGCTATGTGCTGTGCACGAAGACGTGTGGCCTGTGGTACAAGAATGCAACTGGAATGAGTGATCCGGTGCTTTTCTATGGTGATGCATCGCTAGGTGTAGGCGCAAGTCGCAGCCGCACTGGTGCACTTGTGACGTGGGGACAGAATGTCATAGCATGGCGCTCATGTCGACAATCCATCACGGCATGGAGCGCATTTGAAGCAGAAGTGGATGCTGGCGCAACGGCGCTGGAAATGGGCATCAAGGTGCGAGAAACACTCAAAAGGCTCACAACACGCAGGCCGGCAGCGACTCTGTATGGGGACAATGCCGCATGCCTCACAAACCTTTTGAAAGGACATCAGGATCACCAAGCTACGAGAACTAGGCATTTTGGTTTGCGCTGCAGCTGGGTTCGTGACCAGGCGGTCTCAGAGGGAATCGCTATCAAGTACATGAGTGGTACGGCGATTCCAGCGGATCCATTCACAAAAATTCTGGGGCGCAAGGCCCTGGAGCAAGCAAGGCCAAAGTTGTTTGTCGACTAGACAAGCTCTCGTTACAGAAGTCTGCTTGAACGACAGGTGGGTCATTGCGTCTCTCATGAATTGCAGTGCCCACCAAACGAGTTTTCTTCTTCGCTCCTAGTGTTTTTGTGTGGCAAGTGCTGGAACTTTAGAGGGCAGCATTTCACCGTACACCGTGATGGAATGAAACTAGGCAAGTTTGCGCCTGGAAGCTGGTTAGTACTGCGCTTGTTTATGCAATCGTCACTACACACTTTGGAGCACTTTTCCCTGAACAGCGAAATGTGAGGAGGAGTGTGTTTGGTAGTGACTTGTGATGCATGCCTATGTCAGCATTGCTTCGCGGAGTCGGAACGGACTCATTCGCACTATCCAATGCCACGATCGATGTGGCTCAAGCAATGGTGCACAAATCGAGAAGTGTACCGGGTTCTGGCAAGGGCCTCGGCTTGGAAGCTGGGTTTGCGGTTGTGGTGGTGGTCCCCAGGGTACCCGGTACCCTAGTCCCCCCCATCTCCTGGTACCCTAGTCCCGAACCTTACAGGCTCCTTCGGAGCTTGATTTGCTGATGGTGATCGGAAGTAGCGGTGATGCCTAGTGGTTATGATGATGTACCCTATCAGATAAGACAGGCGCTGCAGCAGCAGCAACAACAGCAGTCACCGGCATTCAGCATCGTTACCGATGGCAGTCCGCGAACACAGGAAGCTCTGAGGGCTTCGCAGCCCCATCCCCACTCACTGTCTGCACTCCTGTCCAGCTGTGTAGTTCTCACGAGCACAAGTTTGAGACTTCAATGCCGACACCCTGCCTCAGCTCGTACTGCTCGGGGTTCGGATGGATCACCATACCGGGCACTGCACCCTGAAAGCGAACGACGACTTCGCACCGAGGCTTGGCATCACTGTCAGGCCTCCAGGGTCTTATGCAGCACGGGCAGTTGGGTCTCCACCCAACCACAGAACCTGGCGTCATTCGATGTCACCATACGGCCTGGCCTCCTTGCTCGCTGAGGCTGGAGCTTGACATGCGCTGCGGCGCTCTTGGCGAGCACTTCCAGGCAGAGGTAATGCCTGGCAGGATTTGATTGGCGGGGCTGCAGCGTGGACAGTGAAGAGAAGATGCTTCAGATTCTTGTGCAGCTGCTTGTGCCAGCTTCTGTTCCAGCCGTTGACCAACTCACTAGCCCTGCAAACTGCCAACAACGCAAATGCCAGGAGTCAGAGGTGCACAACTCACCGTCTTCCAACGTCGACGGGATCACTTGAAGCGGTCGTTGCTGAAGAAATGGAAGGGGTTGTGAACTTCCTGCACCCAGGAATACACTGACTAAACGCTACATCGTGAGAGAACAAAGTTCTCGGCACAATCTGCAGTGACATTGGTAGTACCGGCCGCCAACTCAAACGGGCCCGATGCTGTCCTTCCAGTCAGCCTTGTTGTTCTCCACCTTGTTCACTACCTGGCTCGGACTAGTGACCAGTGCAGCGGTGCCAAGCAGCAACGATCTGGATGGCTGTCACAGCGCCTCGTATCCTCGCCGAAACTCGTCGAGGAGAATCCGCTTCGTGGTGTCGGTTACACTATGCCTGGGGTAGCCCAGTCGGCAGCCAAGCAATGATGTTGAATCAGGGCTTCAACGCTCTCGTCCTCCAGCCAAATTTTAAGCGTGCTCACAACTTCATACTCCCACCTTCCAGACTGTGGCCAAGATCAGGCAGAAATCTCTCGCAGCCGAGCAGCTTAGACTTCATTGCCGGACAGGCCGGGGTGATGACTGGCATCAGGTGCTGCCTCGCTGCTCGCTTTGGGCAATCTAGCAGAATCTAGCATGACCCCAGGATCCGCTTGCGGTCCATCTGGTGTTGGCGATCTGTTCCAACTTGCGGCCCAGGTGCTTGTCGGCAAGGCGTGTCTTCGGATTCCAGGGCTGGCAAGGCTGAAAGATTGGAAAGACTGCACTTGCGCTTGGGGCCGGTCCATGAGCTGACGTGCTGAGACTCCCAAGACCAAAAACGGCCTTTGGGCTGAAGACTTTGGAAGTTCTCTCGCGAAGGACCTGCACTGCGGTCCCGAGCACAGGGCACTCAGTAGGACTTGGCAGGAAACCTACAGTAGCTCACTCTGTCGTGCCTCCAGCAGCTTGCCGGATTTTGCCCCCTGCAGAAGCGCATCTCTGGCTGTCTGTCGCATCTCCTCCACGGTCGCAGCCTCCCAAGCGCATGTCACTGTGAGGGTTGGAGTGCGAGTTCGGTTTGAAAGGTTTGGCACCAAACCTTCGAGACGGAGGCCGAGGAAAACCGATCTGCAACCTGAGCTCAGCCGGGCACCGAAGGTGCAATGAGACTTGCTCGTCTTTGCAGTGCTGGCCCCCATGCTGCACCCGGAAACAGCGACCCTGAGCACTTCAAAAACTTCTTTAGCTGCCTCCTCCAGCTTCTTGGCGTCAGCCTCCTGCTCCTTCTTATCCTCTTCTGCCCTGCGCTTGGCCGCTTCCTCTGCGCGAGCCTTCTCGGCGTCCTCCTTCTCCTTTGCCTGCTCCAGCTTCCTGGCACGTGCCTCTTGGTTTTTCTTCGCCACTGCCTTGCGCCTGGCCTCCGGCAGCACTCGTACAGGTTTACATGCTGAACCGGTGGGTGCTTGAAACAGCAGAGCCCTTACAGTACGAGAGCAAGTTCTGCTGCGTCTACATGCCCGGCCGAAAACATGCAAAGCATCAGATAACTTGACATTCGGTGAAGTCAAGGCCTGCTGGCAAAAGCTCAGGTTGCACGTGCTCTTAGGTACATGCATGCTTGCTCACTTGTTTACTTGCGTGTTCGCCCACCTGTCTGCACAAAATCTATTGTCAACAGATGTGTGCGACATGCAATGCCTGCATGCGTACATACGGCAGACAGAACTGCAGGCACGCACGGCAGCTCGCATGCCTTTGTACACACATACACACAAACAGACACATTTGTTGAGGGGTATCGGGGGGGTTCTGTAAGCTTGACTTTCAATTTTTTCCACAGCATCTTACCTTCAAGCCAAGGACCCGAAACCCATTGGCCCAAAAACCAATCCGAGGCAGAATAGGCCTTGCGCTTGCCGTGCCGCTTCTGTTCGGGGGTTCAAAGGAAGGAACGCGGCTGTAGCACTTTGCAGCAGGCCTCTTTTGACACCGTGTCGTCTTTGTTGACGTCGATGGCCTTGAGAAGGCTCGTCGGGCATCCGAAGCGCGGGCAACAGGGTGAGAACCACAACCTGGCCTCGAAAGCCGCAGCAAGCGTTTGCTTGACCTCGCTTAATTCTGCCGATGCGGCTTCACGGAAGGCACCACCACACAATTCACATTGAATGTTGCTAAGCCTGACACGTCCTTCAACTCCTGCGCACAAGCTCGATTGCGCGTTTCGGCTCTTGTTAGACTCAGCACGATTGACTCTATAAACTATAGTTCTACACATTTTTTCTTGGGTCTCAATATGTTTCACAAAAGCAACAACATGTATTGAGCAATCTCGTGTCTTTTCGAAAAAAACCAGACCAAGCTCATGTTCGCCGCCTTCCGCAACGCTTTCACCTCCTGCGGGGCCAACACCACAGCTATGACTCACCCCAAGACACAACTTCGGTACAATCCTAAACGAATTCCGACAAAAGTCCTTCAACAGCTTGAACATCAGTTGCTTCTGCATCGAAGAGATCCTTGACCTCAAGACGCACAAGAAGAATGTACTGCACAGCCGACCTTGACATCAACACGAGAAGGGCTTTTCTTCGCACTCACACCCTGAGCCTCATATAGCATATTCCGGACAGTTTTGACATGTACATGCTCATCACATTGTTGGTGAAGTTAAACCATGATATGCAGTAAATAGGGGTCTGGGGTTGCTGTACAAAGTTGTTACCCGTCTTTCCTGGTTACCTTTACGAATTTCCACGAAATCAAACTGTGTCACAGACTGTTACTTTTTGGTACCGTCGACACTTTTGCAACTTACGGCAGATCCGGTCTCACAAAAAAGCTAAACTGGGCTCAAGAGATGTCGTGACTCACAGCCCGATCAACCACAGCAGCGGTTTACCAGCAGTCGAACATGTAGAAACACTCACGGTTTGCATGGTCCACATTGTTTGTAGCCACGGGACATAGCTTGTGCCTTCACCATTGTGGACTCATTCTACTTGCCTTGGTCACAACTCCGCAGTCTTGACGATGATCGAAATTTCCATTGCCAACAGTCCATACGATCTGCTGTGCGTCTCGCACACAGCAAAAATTTCTCTGGAAAGTCCCCAAACAGTTTCGCTGTAGGGATTCTCTCTTCAAAGCACTGTCCGCGCTTAGGTAAAATGGCGTGTCCGCGCCCCGCTCCTTGTGTGGGTCGATGATACTGTGTTGATGCTCACCTCACCGAGCGTGTTGATAAGTTGTTGCTGCCCTTTACGAACTTGCAGTTGTCAAGCTGTATCCAAAGCAGTCCCTGCAGGCAAACTCGGTCCGAATGTGCTCTCGCCAGACACGCGACGAATTGTCTGTGCAAGGGGATGGCTCGAATCCTCAAGATCAGTAGACCAGAAGCACTTTAGCTTGTATGGCAATAGTTGATATGCCGAAGCATATTCTTGAGCCAAAGTTGCGTTGTGTGCAGAGAAATTATGGCAGGCACTGTCGCATGGTCCGGCTAGCGGGCCCAAGCGCGGGCAACATAAAAGCAGTGAGACAAGATCTGCAAGACGGTGCCTTGCTCTATGTACATGGTGGCACATGACATCAGATTCATAGCTCAGATTGCGACACCTGCGAATTGGACTAAGCATCGAGGTCCGTTCGCACCCCCCAATGAGTTGCGTCTCTGGCACTACACTCACTTTGGAAGAGAGTCGCGATTAGACAAAAAGAAAATATCCGCCGCAACTTTGAGGATTGTTTAGGATAAGAGCCATGAGTTCTCAATTTAAAGGTTGAGACACTTCTCTACGTCAGTGACGATCCCCTGAAATGACTTCGCGGAATCAGAGAGACACCGAAGAAATAGGCCACGATTGGATTCCACCTGCACGTAGTAGCCAGTGCCACGAACTTGCCAGCAGTGAAAGACGATATGACCGATTGTCTTCCTCCCAGGGGCGGAGACGTTGACGTTCACGCTCACGTTCCTTAGGAGTCTTGGACTTGCCTGTGCCTCTGCCCTTGTCGACATGGGTGTTGGCATTCCAAGGACGCCGATAATACGGTATAAATGCTCACCTCACCGAGCTTGTTCACATAGTTGACAGTGGTGGCTTTCTACGATGCAGTAGCCAGTCGTACTGATACCAACGCAATCGCTGGCAAACTCGGCTCACCCTTTTTCGCGGGAGAGATACTCGCAGCGAGTTGTCTGTGCAGACAGGAATTGTTCAATCCTCAAGGCTCGTTAGACTCGACAGTAGATGAGTAGATTCACTCATATTCTTGAGCCTAAGTTGCGTTGCACGCGGAGCGTATGGTAAAGTGACTTGTCGCCGGGTCCACACAGTGGTACCGGGCTACATGGTACGAGGCCCACACAGTGGCTCCTCGACCCATGGACATGGCGTACCATGACATGTGGCTCATAGCTGTCATACCTAAAGAAGCGACACCTACGAATTGGACTAGGCATCGAGGTCCGTTCGCACCCCCCATGAGTTGTGCCTCCGGCACTGCTCACACGAAGAGAGTCGCGATGGAAACAGAAAAGGCTCCGCAGCAACTTTGGACATTGCTGAGGATAAGAGCTTTGACTCCCAATTAATAAGGTTGTGACATATCACTACGTCGGTAACGATCCCGGGAAACATCACTCGCAGAATCAGAGAGTCACCGCAGAGTATCAGTACGGATGCTGCGGCACATGAACGAGCGTCACACAGATGACGATGTAGAGACTCACCCTTGGTGATCTCTTGCCCATCGTCCCGCTTGCCGACGGGCCTGCTCCCTTTCAGCGGGACGTCGGTTCTTGCCCTTGCCCTTGTCAGCAGCAGTGTTGGCATTGTACCGTTGACGGTTCGCAGAAAATGCCTGTGCCCCAGATTCTCGTCCGACTTGCGCACGTTGTTCTGCCGTCACGGTTGTATCCATGATGGACGCTTGCCCACGGGACAGATACTCATGCGGTGCAATGTGCTCCTTCGTCTTCGAATAAGGCACGAGGATTGTTTTCGGCTTCCGCACGGTTCTTGATGAACTTGTCCAGGTATTTCCTTGGCACAGGGGTGTCACTGTCGATGAGCATGCCGACGGTTGTGACGCTGACGTCTCCAAGACTCACATTGGCCATCACCCCAACAGAGTCAATGAACAGGAATCCGACCGGACCAGAAGGAGCGGGACGAATGAGCGAAAAGAGCTGGTACCACGTGAGCTTGGGAATGATGTCGCTGAGAACGCCCACACAGCTGCCGTTCTCGTAGTTCTCTTTTGACTTCAGGGACGTCTGGTACATCTGCAGCAGCAGGCTGCTGTCTTTGGTTGTGAGATACAGGCGGAAGCTTCGATCGACAAAAACTAAAACGCTGAGAAAATTCAATCGCGATTGAACTTTTTCAATCGGCGGTCCTGTGGGATGCTCCGGAACAGGATCCTGGGAGTAGCCGAGGCAGGCCGCCTCATTAGACGCCACCGTGTTCCCCGCCGCCCGGCTCTCGCCGCCGTGCTCCTCCCGTTGGCGAAGACGCCGGCACGGAGACGGTTTCTGGAACCGGTTGACGCCGCCACGACTGTGGACCCGAGGTCGCAGCCCGTGTGGAGCCTCTGGCCGCTTGCGGCATTTCTTCAGTTTTGTGCGCAGCACCTAGCTGCTTGCCGAAAGGGTGGCAGGGTGGCGTATCCGCTCTATAAATCCCGGACGCTCGTGGCTAGGGAGGCACGGCTATGCTCCCGAAGCGCGAGGAGTAGCGCCGTTGCTTCGGCTGCTCGTCTCACCAGCCCGTGGCCGCTGTGCGGCGCGGACTGTGGAAGGCTCAGAGCCTCGTGCCAGGAGTGCCGAGAAAAGTAAGGGGTTGCGCGTGTGTTCGGTTTAGGAAGGGTTGTCGGGTAGGTTTTTGGCAAAGCCTCCGGCCGCCCGCTGCCCTAACGACACACCCCGTGCTCTCGGCTGAGGGCGAATGTGACTGTACATAGTCTACGGGCTGTGCTGTGAGACTTTGTGCTTTTATGCATGTGTACTGTGAATTCGTGTTCCATAACATTTTTGGCTCAAGCGAGCACGGCAGTAAATCGTAGGTTGCTCCGTGTAGCCTGCGATATATTGGCGGTGCGCAGCACGCTCCTGTGGTAGACGTGCGACCTGACACGGTCGCGGGACTTCTGCAGCAGAGCACGTAAACGGGCGGCGCACGATTGCCTGGTGGTAACTCTGCCCCGCTGTGCTCCTTCACAGTAAGCTCAGAGTTCGTTGCATCAATCCTTGCCAAGCCAAAGAGTATGAGTGTGTTTTTGTGTGTGTGTGTGCGTTTGTGCGTGCATGTAAAATTACTTGCCTGCTTGTGTCTTTAATTCGCGAATTTTCTTCAAACATGCAACTATTGTTTATGTAGTTGATAGTTCTTTACATATTGGATCAGTTGTCTGTTGACTTTTGCTTACTTGTATTGTCGGCCAGAATCTAGAAACAATGTATAGAACCTGTGCACGAGCAGATCTTTGGCAGACGGTTGATGGGATCCCCACCCTTTGGGGCAATTGTGTCTGCATGCCCTCCCCTGGATCAGCACCTGGTCTTAATTACGTTCTTTGTGACCCTGAAGGCTGCCGTTCCACCCAGGCGTCCGAAGCCAATCTTGGCCCTTTTGCATGCTGGAAACGATCAAGAGCTACATCACTTCGCGTGCCATCATGTGTGGAATGCATGACATGGGAGATGAGGCTTGACGGATCATGTGTGGAATGCAAGTGTCCGCAAGCGTGGATAGGATTCCCTGAGGCTCCCACACGGAAAGCGGGGGTCAAAATCACCTCGGCAAGTTTCATGGTGCTTGAGGAACGTTGCCCCACAGACAGCTGTGCAGACACAGCACAAGAAGCATCCTCCATGCCAAAATGACATGGAGAAGGCTCTGTGCGCTGAGCTTCCGGGCAGAAGCTCAGCGACCACACAGATGACCCGAGTGAGCCGAGAGCGACACGCTCAAGAAGGGGTACATCAAGAGAGGCTTCCGTCTTCTCTAAGCACATGGCACTTTCAAGCGTGCGCCCTCCAAGCAACGCAAAATTCACACGAACCTGCACCCCCTGCATCTGTTCATTCAGGCTGGAGCAGAAACATAAGACGATAGTATGTGAATACTGGAAATCTCGATGACCACAACCAATATCGCGTTGATCAGCAGACAAGAATAGGTCGTTGGTGCTGGCAGTCGTATTTCGGACAGTACTTGCAATACTGTTGGAAGAGCAGCAGCAGAGTGAGTCGTCGTCATGCCCCGCCACAACGAGGTAAGGTCGAGCATGCAGGAACGGTGCCTTTGCTTTAGGATTTTGGATATGGGGCTTTGGAGCTTCTAACTTGTAGGCTTTCGGGTTCAGTTTTTTTGGGTTCTATGGTGATTAGGACCTTTAACGCCTATTCCTCGCCGCACTGCATACCAAAGGGAGCATAAACCTCACATCTGGATGGAAACGGGACAGGCGTTCTGGCAACTTTCTGGTCACAGCCCGCGGCACATCGTGAACTGCACAACACCAGGGAGCCGCTTCGCTTGGCCTTTTAGGCATGTCCCAGGGAGCAGCAATGCTTTCCACAGTCGACGTGTCAAATTGAAATGTTGCAATTTCAGTACGAGGTCTTCGCACCACATCGGATGGGCCATCATCACTCTCACTGCAGCATCATAACGGTGAGATGAATCAGCATCGCCGTGATGTCCATCACCCATGACCGCTGTTGTCATTGCCATGCTCCAACATCTCCGCACGACTGAGTGCAAATCAAGCTGGATAGCTGAATCTCGACTGAGCCAGGTTTGCCTGCCGGTAGCTAGCGGCTGGGCAACAGGAGTCATCACTAGATCTTCAACCAGTGGCAAAGGAGCGACTCGTCTCTGCAAGATGTGCAAAGTGGCCAACACGGACAATCGAAGCCACGCCTGTCAAGATCCTGTCAAGTTTGTACATGTTGATTACGCGTTTCTTGGGCAAGACGGCGCTTCTGTCTAAATCCGTCAACAGTTGCCAAATTTGTCAACCGCTTCACCCCTTTGGGGAATCTGCGCGACCGCTCCAGCACTGTTGGATCTGTCTTGAAGTTATAGGCTGCAGACTTCTTTGCCCGCTTCTCATTCGGCATCACCTGAGGCTCGGGCAAAAACTACCATTGCGCATGGGGACAGGGAGAACCGGGATAACTGTTTCCCTGCTTTTGTGACGCACATGGCCTCTCCCTCGTAGGACTCGCTGCTCCAGGCGGGAATACGCAGAGAAGCCTGGAAGCCTCCACTGGTCCGCGTAATGTCATAGAAAACTTCCTTGGACATATCATCCACACCAGTCAAGCACCTGAATCACGGGAGACGGCCAGCAAATGAATGTGTTCCGGTTGCTACTTACGCGAGACACTGAACGACAACCAACTGCAAAGCCAACTGCGAATTCAGCAAGGCACCTTGCAAAAGCATGGACGGCCTCTAGCTCGCCTTTCTTCTCCAGCTGGAGGTCGAAGAAGAACTCTCCGTCTGGATCTGCACGCGGCTGCGTTGAGCTTCGTCTCGGCGACTTGGAAGGCGTCGAGCTCCGCAGTCGTCGTGACCGCGAAGACGGAGGAGTGCCTTTGTCCTTCGGTAGAGAACCAGCTTTAGCCTCGCTCGAGCTGCTGCGGACGCTTGCTGAGGGCGGACAGCCGACTGGGTACAGTGCTTTTGGCATAGGCGGCATGGTGGTCTGTCTGAAGTCTGAAAGGACTGTGCATGCGTGCAAGTCAGGCATCGTTCAACCAGCAGTTCAACAATCGTGGCTTAGGTGTGAGATGCTGCTTTTTTTGACTCGCGTCCCGACTTGAGTCTGCAAAAGGCTGCGACTTCCTCGAGTTCAGCCCATGTCACAACCGGCCAGCCCCTCCCCGAAACATGCAAATCTTCTTTCAACATCTTTCAACTGCGCCTGGCGGACTGCAAGCTCGGAGTTTAAGCATGCTGACGAGGGAAGCTGAGAAACAAAGAATAGCAACAGCATCCAGATACCTATGTGCCCCACCATGTGTAAACTGACTGCAGAAATGTGCTGCGTCCGAGCCCCTGACCCGGACTTCAGGACCCAATCGGCAGAGGCCGGATATGAAAGGAAGGGAGCAGCTGACTCTACCATTCCACGTCATTTTTGAGGCACAGGCTTAGCGACGGAATGTAGCGGTTAGCATTGACAGACCTCCAGCGATGTCATTGAACGATTTCGCAAAAGCCATGCCAGGAACTTAGGCGCGGACTGAACAACCAACGCACCGAAGCCCAAGCCGGTAAGGCAGTGTCAATACGATGCCGACCTTTGCTAGCATGACTTTATGCAAGCACATGCGGTGTCGCCTCATGCAGGGTCGAATGCCTGAGTGTGAGAAAAATTGCAGATTTCCCAAGGAACATGAGCAGAATAACAGCGGTGGCGTAAGAGGACGGTACACAGGAGCAGGAGGCAGAGGAGCAGGAGGAGCAGGAGGAGCAGGAGCAGGAGGAGGAGGAGGAGGTGGAGGAGGAGGTGGAGGAGTCACTTCTAGCATCCACGAGGCTGAAGGAGGACTGAGGCAGAGGCAAGACGGCTCTCCAGCATTGAATTCCGATGCCGTACAGAAAAACAAGGCCGGAACATGTTAAAACGCATCCCCAAAACGGCTCAGCCACAGTCTGCATTAGCCTGTCATGACATGTCGTGTCGACGGTGTCCTCAGAAGTGGCCTTCCAGAGCAGAATGCTCATGTCTGATCTCGTAAACCGGCCATCATGATGTCGGGCTGATGCTTCGAGTACCGATCAACAAGATGCTGGATAATCAGCATCTTGGTCATGTCATGGATAGAAGCTGGCCGCAGCCGTTGCAAAGCTACTTCCTCGAGCTTTTAAGCGGCACCAGAAAATGCCAGGACACGATGCAGAAGGGTCATGACTCAAGACTACTTGCCTCGTTTGCGCAAGGACCTTTGAAAGCAGTATGCGACCGTACAAGACACTGGTACTGGTCGTCGTCGCAAAGTGTCAGGAGGGAGAGCTGCGGCATTCGCAGGACCGGGGAGAGCAGAGCACTGCTAGTCCAGCCAGCCGTGGCTCCGAAGAAACGGAAAGTTTCCAGCCAAAGCCATTTGTGGGAGAAGAACCCAGCTTAATGAACAAAGGCCGCGTCTTGGGCTCAGGCATCTTCAAAGACATCACCGATCCCAGCCTGAGCGTTTGCCGTCAATTGGCGTTGGCTGTCAGAGGCCCTCTCAGAGCCTCGTTCCCATTCCTTCTCCGGCCTGGCCAAGCC